TATCTCAACATATAACAATTATATCTTATTTACATTCAGTGTAGCTTATATGCGTAATGCATGTTGGGTTTTTTTACGAATTTAGGACAGGGTCTCACTATATAACATCAGACTCATAGTGATTCTCCTGTTTTCAACCTCTCAAGCGCTGGGATTACAGTTGTGGTGCGGTGAATCACCATGCCCAGTCTCAATCGCCCTCTCAGAAGGCCCTGGGGGCGGGGCTGACATGGCATGCAAGGGATTGAACCCCAGCCACAGGCTGAAGCAGGCGCGCTAGTCCGCTGAGCTATCTGGCTGGCCCTCTCCTGATTTTAATTCATATGCTTTTCCTAACATTGTACAATTTATGTAGACTTTGGTAATGCAATGAACAAATTGGTTTTTTTCTTTTATGTGGCATTTGCAGATTTATTAGGCATGATATGAAGAGAAAATAGGGAAGAGACTTCAGCTTGAGGAACTGAATGGGGATGTAATGAACAAACTTAAAAAAAATCAAGCAAATTGCTTTTCAGGTGTTGCAGATGCTCGTAAAAGATGGGAAATCTCTTTTTTTTGTGGTGCTGGGGATTGAACTCAGGACCCTACACTTGCCAGGCAAGTGCTTATTCTAATGAGCTATCTCTCCAGCTCCAAGGATGGAAAATCTTTTACTTCACCCAAAGTGAAAGAGAATATGGTACAACGATTCCAGATAATTTGAGTTGCTGAATAACAGAACTAATATAAATAGTGCTTTACAAGACAACATGGTTTATTTAAAAGGCTTATACTTGTTGTGTTTTCTTTTCGTACTAGGAATCGAACTCAAGACCCCTTGCACTTGCCACGTAGGTGCTATGCCACCGAGTGATGTTTTTTTTTTTTTTAAAGGACATATAAAAAATAAAATAAACCAAAAAGGATATAGTCTTTAAAACAGGATTTTCAAATGATTACCTTTAGGTATGTTACAAAGTTAAGAAAATTACCATTTCTGTAATCTCCTAATAACTAGTTTCTCATTGCAATTTGATGAATGGTATAACCTCTCTCTTCAGAAAAATAAATATCTGTATATGTTCATAAAGTGTGGATTCACAGCTGGTGACATAGTTCAGTGGACTAAAGCGCCTGCTTAAGGGGCGCAGGGACCCGGTTTGATCCCAGGAGTGCCATGCCTGCCCTGCCTCCAGGGAGCTCTGAGTGACTGAAAATGGGCATGGTGCCACACGCCTGTAATCCCAGCACTTGGGAGGCTGAAAACAGGAGGAATCACTATGAGTCCAATCTGTGCAGTGAGACCCTATACTAGATACATAAATAAAATCTTAAGAAGCAATAAACAGTATTTAAAGATCAGAGAATAATCAGGAACATTGACTCAACCATAATTTGTCAGCACTGGAGCTTATTACTACATTAAGGTCATCTTCTAAAAACCTTACTAGGTAAAAAATGAAGTATCTATCCTGCCTTCTCAGTAGAACTTCTTAACAGTGTGATCTAATGGCCTCTGTTAATCAGGAAAAGCTCTCCTTTACAGAAGTTTAGCTAATAAACATACGAGGACAGTAGTAACAATATATAAGCCCTAGTGGGTTGACTTATGTTAAAAGCATTGAGGGAAAGACTGGTGCAGAAATGTCTACTGACAGTAAAAAATTAATCAATTTTTTGGGGGGTCAGTACCAGGTGGGAATAGAATTTAGAAACTCCAGGGCCAGGGAGATAGCTCAGTATAATAAGCGCTTGCCTGGCAAGCACATGGTCCTGAGTTCAATCCCTGGAACTGAAAAAAAAAAGTTTCAATTCTTTACTTCTTGAAGAAGAGTTGGCTTTAGAGACTTCTACCCAACAGGTTATCCTAAGGAAAAAGCAGTCACTGTAGAGTGGAGAAACAGTACCCTTCAGATGTGTCAAGGTTATAAAATCTCTCCTTAGGTATCAAAGCAGAGTAGTCATGACAATTACATGTAATGTGGTATTCTACATTGGATTCTGGAATAGAAAAAGTCTTAGAAGTGGGGAAGTTGGAATAAACCCTGTTTACACCACTGTACCAATATCACTTTGTTTTATGTTACTCAGTCTGGTCAAAAACTCCCGAGATCAAATATCCTCTCACCTCAGCCTCCGGAGGGTTGCAACTAAATGCAAGTGCTACCACATGGTCTAAAGTTATTTATTTATTTATTTATTTATTTAGGTACTGGAAATTGAACTCACGATCTTGTGCTAGCCAGGCAGGTATTTGTGCCACTGAGCTATATCCCTGGCCCAATTTTTATTTCAGATCTTGTACTATGGTTGTATAAGCTGTAACACTGAGAAGCTGAGTGAGGGTTCTGCAAGAGAACTCTGTGCTAGCTCCACAAACTTGTGCTAGTCTTACCAACTTTTGTCCCTATGAGAAATTCCGAGCCTGGCATAGTGACGTACGCCTATTAATCCCAGAAATCTAGGAGGCTAAGGCTGTAGGATCACAAATTGAAGCCCAGCCTGGGCAACCAAGTGAGACCTGGTCTTAAAAATTGGACTGAGGAATAAAAATGGGTTGAGGATAAAGCTTAGTGACGGTTTGTAGTTCAAAACAAGGGAGGAGGAAGGAGGGAGGGAGGGAAGTATACTGTGTCAGTCTGTTGGTGCATGCCTTCAATCCCAGCACTAGGGAGGCCGAGTCAGAAGCAGGAGGATCTCAAGTTCAACACCATCTTGAACTGTATAGTGTCTCAGAAACCAAACACACAAAATAGTCATTACTATCTTTACATTTATTTATTCATTCATTCATTCACGTAATGGGGCCTGTTATACTCTATGAGCTCTTAGAACCTTTCTCAATGAACTCTATATGCAACTATAGGCTCTTCAGAGGAAGTTGCACATAAAACTCTCTCTCAACTTTGGACGTCATTGCAATAAATTACAAATACCATATATAGTACAACAGCTTTATACCGAAGAAATCAGATGCTAAAACCTTATTCTTCATTGTGCAAGTAAACAAACATGGGGACTGGATCCAGTACATTAATATTCTGGATTTCACTTCAAATTTTTATAAGCATCTATTTTTTTGAGATAAGGTTTCATTATGTAGTGCTGGCTGGCCTTTAACTCACAGCAATTCTCCTGCCTCACCTTCCTGAGTGCAGGATTACAGGTGTGAGCCACCATGCCCAGCTAAATATTTTAATGTTACTTTCTGAGTCTATTTGCTAAATAAATAGTTTGAGGTACCCCCCAAATATAAATCTTTTTTTTTTTTGTATTTTAGGGAAGGGTCTATAGGGTGTACAGGGTCTCACTACTAGATCGGACTTGTAGTGATCTGCCTGTTTACAGCCTCCCAAGCTGGGATTACTGGTGTACACCACCATGCCCAGTCTCACACCACTATGGGGGCGGGGTCAGCACAGAGGGCCCAAGATCGAACCCTGGCTCCTGCACCTGCTTGCAAGTGCTTTAATCTGCTGTGTTATTCAGCTGGCCCCCTACGTTCTTTTTATATCCAAGATACTTCCTTTTTTAAAAAAATGTATTTGGTATTGGGGCTCACTACTATGCAGCCTCCTCAGTGCTGGGATTACAGGCACATACCAGACTGGTCTCTTGTTGACAGGCTCAGTATACCTGAGGGATGGGGCCAGCGCAGCATGTAGTGCTAGGGATCGAACCCTGTCCCTGCACTTGCTTAAGCAGGCATTTAGTCTGCTGAGCTATCTTACCAGTCCTTCCAAGATACCTTTTTTTTTGTTTTTTGTAGTTAGAATAAGGATTTTTTTTTGTTCCTCGCATGCCTTCAGGGCACGTTTGGCCAGTGGGAGAGTTGTGAGGTTCGAACTCCAGCCACCTCAGGCTGACAGCTTTGTGGAAGCAGCCACTTAAAGGACTGAGCTAGGCCCAGGCCCCCATGTTTTTTGTAGTTAGGACAGGGTGTACAGGGTTTCACTGTGTAGATTGGATTTGTAGTGATTCTCCTGTTTACAGCCTCCCAAGTGCTGGGATTACAGGCATGCGCCACCATGCCCAGTCTCAATCACTTCTCAGCAGAGCCTGGGGGCGGGAC